AAAATCAGCCGGGCGTGGTAAGCGCATGCCTGTAATGCCAGCTAGTCGGAAGGTTGAGGCGGAAGGATCGCCGGAGCCCAGCAGGTCGAGGTTGCAGTGGCCGGGAGCGGCCACTGCACTCCAGTCTGGGCGACAGAGTGAGACTCCAACTAAAATAAAATAAAATAAAATAAAATAAAATAAAATAAAATAAAATACTGCAAGTGTTTCAGTAAATTAAAACAAAGGAACGAGTTAAAAATATTCTAGAAACATAACTAACACTCTAGAAAGGTCAGCTAATGATATAAATTCTTTAACACAACAGCCTGTGTTCTCCAGTATCCAATATTGCAATAAAATAGTTAATAAATACAGAATAATATTTATAATAGTACTGAAAATTCAGTTTATATTACTTACTAAAATAGTGAAGGGAGCTATTTTACCATGTAGAAATCTTCTGCTCTAATTTGCTATGAAATATATAATAGGTAATTAAGATTAATTAATTAATTAATTTGAGATGGAGGTCTCACTCTGTCGCCCTAGCTAGAGTGCAATGGCACAGTCATGGCTCACCACAGTCTTGAACTCCTGGGATCAAGCAATCCTTCTGCCTCAGCCTCCTGAGTAGCTGGAACTACAGGCACACACCACCACAGCCGGTTAGTTTTGAAATTTTTTTTAAGGGTCTTGCTCTGTTGCCCAGACTGGTGTAGAACTCCTGGCCTCAAGGGATCATCCTTCCCCAGTCTCCCAGTGTTGAGATTTACAGGCATGAGCCACCGTGCCCGGACAAGATGAATTTACTTACACAGAATCTAAATCACCATAATTCTCAAGGACCAGTGATTATAAAATTATATGTAAAATTCATCTGTGGTAGACTCTGAGACCCACCATTGGGGTGAAAACGTAATCCAGCCCCAGTTGTGCTTCCAAATTTTGAGCATACACGAACAAGGAAACATGGCCAAGAGCTGCTCTGCTCCTCTGGGCTACCAGTATTAAACTTCCATGGGTTTCATTTACTTCAAACCTGTAATAAAGCAACAAGGACACATTCATGTTGCCCTTCCATGCGTTTATTTGCTAGATAGTCAAGAATCTGCAACCCAGGCAAGGGCTCTCTTGCAGGCTTGGCCTCACCTGCTACGTTGCCATTCGATCACACCTCGGGCACCATCGTTGGCATCAATGATGATTTGTGCAGTCAAGCCTTCTGAATCTGAAAAAACATAGAAACATATCCTGAAATGAATGTAAATGATTTTAAAACACTTTTTGATATAGAATGTAAAGACAGTCGCTTTGATATCATATAACTTCTAAAGTATAGGTATTGGCCACATTATTTTCTTAAACATCTTTTGAGTAGTTTTAACAATACCTATGTTATAAGTACTGTGTCTTTTCCTTAAATGTCTTCTGAGTAAGATACAAAACTTGTAACATCTGAATAAGGACACTTTTTGCCAACAAGAACCACTTATTTAACCAACTGAGAACAATATGATAAGCATCTTAGATTATGGCTTTGTTTCTATTCTTTTAATCAATTAAAAATATTTGGCTTTTCTACTCTACAAGAGCACCATTTGAGCAAAAGAATGGAGATAGCTAGAGGAGGAGAAGGAGCAAGAAAAGAAGAAAAAGAAGTGGGAAGAGAAGACAAGGAGTAGTACAGAGGGGTAAAAAGGTGTGCTAAAGAGACAGGAGGGGGCTGTAAACAGAAGTTGAGACAGGCAGGAATTGTGGGAAAAGGTTTGGTGAAATACAGAGAGATCAATATTGCAGTAGACTTCGCTTATCCTGTTTTATTTTGTATTCTATCCACCAAGTTCAGTATGTTATCTATACCTACTATTCAGTCTTGACATACTAATTAACCCAGCTCCTGGTTGGATTTTGTTTTGTTTTTTAATACTTTGTTCTTTTAAATTTCACAAGTGCTTAGTCTAGAAAACTTATGACAGCTCCCTGGGAGAAAAAAAGAGTAGGAAGACTATAATTCTCTCCAGAGTGAAAAGAACACCAGTTTCTAGCAACTAATATAAATCAGGGTTTATGCCCATCAGACTGAGGCTAAAAAGTAGAGATTGCAAAATCAGACCATGCCACTGAAACCAATTCTACCACTTCTTAACTGTGTGATTTGGAGCATGCTACCTAGCTTCTCTTAGCCTCAGCTACCTCATCTGTAAAATGGGAAGACGTAGGTAATGCTTCCATACAAAGCATATCAAACAGGGGCATGAGAAAGCACTCAACAAAAGTCAACTATTCAAATTATCTCTAACACGAGAATGGAAGAAATGTGAAGTATTTAGTTAGTTTTCTTAGGGTGAACAATAATTATCTCGTAATAATATGTGGCGTAAACAGCCTAGTTGTTGGAATAGTGTATTCCTTTTGCAAAAGAACTGACACTTTTCAAACAATAATACATCAGAAACTGATTATTTCCTTCCAGTATTTTCAAAGTTGTCACAATGAGACTCAGAAGCGAATGAGGAAGGACACTGCTCTTGGCCATGTTCCTTCTTTTTTCTATATTTGTATTTTCTTAGAGACAGGATCTTGCTCTGTCTCCCAGGCTGGAGTGCAATGGCTCAACTGTAGCTCACTACAGCCTCAAACTTATGGTTTCATGCTATTCTCCCACATCAGTCTCCAGAGTAGCTATGACTGCAGGTGTGTACCACCATGCCTGGCTAATTTTTTTTACTTTTTTAGAGATGATATCTTGCTATGTTGCCCAGGCTGGTCTGCAACTCCTGGCCTCAGGCAATCCTCCAGCTTCAACCTACTGAGTAGCTGGGACTACAGGCACGAGCTACAGTGTCCAGCTACGCCTTTCAGTGTCCAGTTACGCCTTTCCCCCTTTAACCTAGCTTAATATCCCCCTGCCCAGCACCCCTAACCAGTTTATCACCACCCTCTATTGGACTGTCACACCTACAAGTTTCAGACAAAATTTCCCAATAGTAAATGTCCAAACCTTAAACAAGAGCTTGTGTTTAAACATAGAAATACATCTTTTGAAAGGAATCTACATAAATTTGTATCAAGTTCAAGTTTTACCTTTCAGTCTGTAATGAATTAACTGAGTCTTTTCTACAAGCATGAAAAGGAAAAGATAAAAGGTCAAAAAAGAAACGGAGAACACAGCATACAACGAAACAAAGAAATAACAATAGCTCTGCTTAACCTAAAAGAAGAGAAAATCATCTGCTAATTTGGAGATCTAATGAAAATAGCTCATTTTAAAAGAAAATGAAAGAAAAATGCCTTCCAAAGAACTAACTCTATTTTGAGGATACAAATTTGGTCATAAAATTACAACTTATATAAAATTACACATTTGGTCATAAAAATTTAATTACAGAATTTAAAGAGCATCACATCATAATTCTTAATGTCTTTACATTGTCCAATTTACAAAACTGTAATATATGATAGTCTCTAAATTAAAATCAAACAAAAAACCCATCATATTTTGAAACATAGCTGAGACTAACAAATATCACAATAATCACTTCTGATTAAAAAATGAAATTCCTTTACTTAATTTGAAGTGAGTAAAAAGAAACAAAAAAACCATCATACCAAGTCTGGGAGGAAATGAAGTAAAAGGAGCCATGATAAGTTCAACAGATGTCAAATTCACCAGGAAATATTCTTCTAGCTCTGGTATATCATCCTGCAAAAATTACACCCAGTAAATTCCTTTAATTATGCTCTCAAAGTAATTACCTCTCATAAGCTGTTTTAAAATCCATCTTATATATGTTAATATGGTATACAATTTTTTTTAAAATGCAACTATGAAGTAGAAAATATTTAAACTAGAAAAAAATAAGCATAAAAGTTTAAACTTACTTGGTTATGTAAGAAGTTATTAGGTTGAACCATATGAAACCACTCAAATATTATAACAATTTTAACATATACTTATATATAAACCAATTACATAAATATACAAACCTAACTACTTTAAGTATAACATGAACAAAAGATTTTAAATTACCTTAATATTCCATTAATATTTAAAATGAAGAGTAGAATGATACCATGAAAAAAAAATGTGTTTTGCAATCAAGGAGACTTATTACCAAATTCTGCAATTTTAGGTGAGTCACTTAAATTTTAGAACCTCAAGACTATCATCTCTATAATGGAGGAAATAATAGCTCCTTTGGGCTAGGGATTGTAATAGTGATTTAAAATAATGTCTGTAGTGTACCTGGCCTATAGAGAATCTTTAAAATGATAGCAATTATTATTAATCACACATCCACATAATAGCAATAAAAACAAGGCAGATACCCAAAACATGAGGATTAGCAAAACCCATGTCAGGAGTGGCCAGCCAGCCACCAATATTTACATAGAAACTCAATTTGTGTGTGTGTGTGTGTGTGTGTGTGTGTGTGTGTGTGTGTGTGTGTATGTAATATCAGTACATACTCACCAACATACACTTTCCCCTTCATTTTATTTAATGGAGATATATTTCACTTGAAAAAATAAGAACATGAAAGTCACCGTCTCTAGATTGTCTCGTGAGTAAGGACCAATGTGAGTTACCAGATGGGTGATACAGAAGGCCCATCCCACCTACCCCTGTCCCCACCCCTATGCAACAACTCCTCCCTCATCCCTCCTGGAGTGTCTTCCATATGAAGGGGTTTTCAGTCTCTTAATCTAGGGCAACTCAGGAAGCAGAAAGGTTTGCAAAGAGCAAAGGAGAAAGGTGTAACCGAAAACCCCTGTGCTCAAAAAACTAGACTCTGCAGAGAAAAGGCTGACCACCGTATATATTTTTCTGCTTCAAAAACTCGCCTACCTAAGGAATAATCAGTTCATTTATATTCAGCTACACTGATAGATTATGCATTTGAAAGATGACTTACTTACCTGCGAGTTTTATCCAATCTTGTTTTATACACCGCATACTGACATAATATTACCTTGTATTTTATGGCCTTAGAATTCTCATATTATACTAGGCCACGGTGCCATGGTAATCAACAAAATAAGAGTTACTGACTTCAGATGGTAGATGGTTTACACTACTTATAGTTTTGTAAAAGTAAAAAGCTTCCAAGAGAATAAAAACTTTTAAAAATAGAACTCCCAAAATACATAGTAGTTGAAAAGTATTTTTTCAAATGCAACTTCATTCTCTTTCTTTCTTTCCCTCTCCTCACCTCCACATACCATCTCCTACCCCCTCCTTGTGTGCTATTTTTATAAAGCTCTTGGAAGTGTATTTTGGTGGTTGAAACACCAAGTCCCAAAACATCATGAGAGTCCACAATATGAAAAAAATTTTTTTTAATGCAATTTTGGTCACCAGTGATTACTTTAAGCTTTACCATCGTCACAGGTTATGCTACCAGTTGCTAGTGAGTGTCTAACGATCTCTAATTTAACCAGTCCAACCAACTAAGATTCTGACCTATATGGATTTGCTGGTCCTATGTCCTCAAAAGTACTCAAAATACTTTTTTGGGAGAGATCTTTTAGGCCAATGACATCTTAAAGGGGCTACCCTAAGGAAATTCCCTTTATCACTAGACATTTCCATAATAAAATACACAACAGCAGCGGGCCAATCTATCTAAACAAGAACATAAACCCCTGTGTAATTTTTTAAGAAATCAAAAAAAGAAATAAGTTGATTTAAAGGCACCAAGGAGGAACCAATCAGAGAAGAATTCACTAAGTTTCTGAAGATTGTAACTGTAGAGTATCCAAGCCTTATATTAAAGGCAGAGAAATATTCTTTTTTACAAATACGGTGAACAAAAAATTATCAGCTAAATTTAGTCTTCAAGAAACTTGATGTCTTAAAATGCAAAGTTATTAGAAGTCTCTTTTTACTTGCTACTACTCAATTTTCACTTTCTTTGTGGCTACTTCAGGTTTAATTCAATAATAGGGAAACAATATAAGAGCTTTACCTCGAGTATAGTAATGTTGATGGCTGCTGCTGTTTCTCCTTCTTCTAGAATCAGAAAGCCAATTACCGGGACAAAATCAACTTCCGGCTCTGCTAGGTTTCCTTCTGTTTGGTTCTTCAGACTCACCATCCCAGGAACCGTGGTATACGTGACATTGATAGCTCCTAAATGAATTGGCAGCAAAAAGATTTTATAACTAAACTCTTATTTTTATTTATTTATTTTTGTGAGTCGGAGTCTCACTCTGTGGGCCAGGCTGGAGTGCAGTGGCAGGATTACAGCTCACTGCAGCCTTGACCTCCTAGGCTCAGGTAATTCTCCTTCCTCAGTCTTCCAAGTAGTTAGGTCAACAAGCATGAGCCACCACACCCGGTTAATTTTTTTATTTTTATTTTTGTAGAGACGAAGTCTCGCTATGTTTCCTAGGCTGGACTCGAACTCCTGGGCTCAAGTGACTCCCCCTGCTTCGGCTTCCCAATGAACTGGGATTACAGGCATGAGCTACCATGCCTGGCCTATTTTAAACTTTTAAAAATCATGCCTCATTGTGAATATTTTGCCTTTCCTAAGCACTTCAGTTACTAGCGTTAGTGGCTCCAATTCCTCACCTCTTCCTACATCATTGGTCTTTACCATGTGATGACTCTGGGATGTCCTGCCGTGGGCAAGGTGTACTTCCGGCCTCTAGACCGTAAGTTCAGCTGTGTGGCTTGTCTTGGCTAATAGATATGTTAGCTCAAAGCCTAGACCTCAGGAGGTCTTCCTTGTCTTGGCTTGCTCTTGTGTCCCTCTATTGGTTTCAGGAGAAGAATGAGAGACACTTGGAGTACAGCCATCCTGGCCAATCCCAGCCCAGATGAGCAGACCCACAGCCAGCCCATGACTGTATCTTGCTGAGATTTGATGACTGTTACACAGCATTTCTGCCAAAATAGGTAATTCTTTTAATCTCCTCAAAAGTAAAGAAGCTATACAGTTTTGTCCTGAATTAAGAAATACTAATATTTTCTGTCCATGATTTCTTTTAGCAATGGCCTTCATCCGCACAAGGAGAATATTAAAAAGCACTTGCCTGGAAACCCCGTTCATTCTAGAGTAACACAAACCTAGTGATCCAAACTCTCTGTTAACGAAAAGCTGAATTGTTATGTTAGCCTCTTGTAGCAGCACAAATCTTGAGGAAAGAGCAAAATTTAAGACTCCATGTGGCTCATCACTGGCTTCCACTGTCAAGACAGCTGCGTATCCTTGAACATCAAGCAGAGCGATTCCTGCTGGTGGGACTCCTAGAAGTGTCAGGAACACATCATGACATCTAACAGAGATATGGCATTTGCCTTTAAATGCTTAAAATACACCCCCCCCTTTGAAACATATTAAAGTAACTGAAAAGTGGTCTATTTTATTCACTTCTCTAACAGAAATCTTCAGGCTGACAAACAGAGCCCACATTCTATTATTCTTCCAAACAGAAGATTATGGATGTTTTTTACTTCACATATTATTGTCATTATTGGCTATATTGGTATCTGAATTACAGAAACTGAGGAAGGTTCCCACATAATTGGCTTAAAAATGATTAAAGTTGAATTGTTCATATAATCGGTCCAAAATCCAAATTGATCATTTAGTACAAAATGAATTTTTTTTAAATCTATCTTTGGAAATACATTTTATTCCATAAATAACTATTCAGCAAAACCTTTCAGAGCTTTTTCCTGAGTCCATAAAGGTAAGTATATCCACACTGTGCTAATGTTTTTTGGATCTAACATTTCTAAGAAACAGATAATATTTAAAGTAACATTTTAAAAACTGGCATGCATCTAATTGTTAAATGCTTCTTTTCTAAAAAGAATAGACCAAAAAATTAAAATTGAATTCTGAATTACCTTGCGTTCTGATATCAAACAGAATGACTTGGTATACTTCTTTCTCTTCGGGAATGTTGTCATCCAACAAAGGCACAAATATTGTTTTATTCAATAACCCCTACGTCAAACAGAAGATGGTTAGTGAACATAGACTGCCTCCTGTTTTTATTGGCCTTATAAATCATGCACCCAAATATATTTTCATTTAGACAAAAGTTCTGTGATTTTTAAAAAAACTTGAAAGAAAAGCCATAGGCTTATGGAAACCCAACCTTAAAGGAGATAGGGGAAGATTTTGAATGCCAAGCAGACAATAAATCTTACTCAATGAGCAATGTAACACTATTGAAAATCTCAGGCAAAGCAAAAAAGCTGGGACTGTTTCTACAACAGTGGTGAATAGGAAAAACTGGACCGGGGAAAGAAGACCAGCATTGCAGGGACACCAGTTAATAAAAGTTCAGTGTAGTACACAATACAGATAGGTATATGGGCTTGGCTTAATACTGAGGCAATAAAAGGAAAGAGAAAGAAAATTAAATACATCATCAAAGAAGAATTCATGCCAAGTGGGTGTGGAGAAGACAACTACAATATAGTGACGCTGACTTTCTATCCCATTTTCCTCAAAATACACTTTTTTCTAGCTATTTGGCGTTAAGCATTTCTTTGTGGTATTACCTCAGGAAAGAAGAGTTGTCCACTAAAGTTAGCAAAATTGAGTTCTAGATTTTGCCCAATAATTTTCCAGTTAACAGTAACATTTCCTCGACCAGGGAGGGTTCTTATCACATGAAATTGCAAAATTTCTCCTGCAAGTAAAATGTACAGATTGATAAATGTTTAATGAAAGAATGAACTTCATGTCTGAACTCAACAAAACACAATTCCCAAGCATGCAACTATTAAAACACCTTTCCCAAGAACATTACATGTTCTGTTTTGAATTTTCTGGAAGCATTATACATGCTATTGCTTATGAACGTAGGGATCCCACTTCTAAATAATTCCAGTTAGTAGAACTTCAGGAAATTCAATATGTAAAACTTAAAAAACCACATGCTAAAATGAGAAACACAAACTCTTATACACTCCAAAACATGCACCAGAACACCAGTGTTCTGTAAATTAAAGAAAATTATAAAGTCCTCATGGTTAAAACCAGTAATAACACCAAGTAAATTCTTCCTTCACCTCTCAAAAGGACACAAATTCCTTACACTGGTATGCAATGTGATTTTACACAATGCATGCATTAAAATGCTTGCAAATACCTGAAAATCACATTTCTTTAGATTGTAACTTACATATACCATCAATGATTTTGTTTTATAAAAAGAAATACAAAGGAAAGGTGTCAAATCTGTACATCAACATCTGTAACTTCACCAAAGTTACAGTTATCCTTCTTGGATAATTTAAGTAGTTTAGATACTTTTCATTCCTAGCTTTTGTCACCATGTAATACTTTATAAAATGTGAAGAAAATCACAATGGTCATTTCTTTCAGATTTCTAAAAGCAGAAAGAAAGCTGCCAGGGAGTGCAAATGGCCATGTGGCTTGGTAAAAATACTCTCAATTCACCAGTTTTACATGATGGTGAACACAAGTTAAGAAATACCAATGAACTGTATCACCAATTAATTATTATTATGACAAGATAAACAGAGGAATGTTTAATAAGCTTTAAAAATATACATCGTTATTCAAATTATGTAGTACATATGGTTGAAATCTATGAATATTCATTAAAAATAACACTCTTAGTTATCCAAATAATTTGTGTGTAAAATCTTCCAACAGTTTTTAAAAGAGCGAGTAGAAATAAAGCACTAAAATGTAAATGCCTTTTTCAAATATTTTTTAAACTAACCACAACTTTTTTATTTCTGAAGACAAGACACCTAAGCAAATATTTCTAGAAATGAAATGAAAATATCCTAAATTAAAATATCATGGATTAATTAATTTAGAGACTATCTTAATTTCAAATAAAAAACACAAAACAAGCTTTCCAAACTACATTGAAACACACAAAACTTTAGTACAATGAATTATTTTGGGAGAATGAAGAATATAAGACAGTAAAAAAAAATGTTAAATGCATTTTTAAGTGTTTCAATACCAAAAAGTTTCAGTCACCATTACATTAGTAGACTATGTCTTGGATTAATTTTTTTTAACACATAGAAACTGCCAGATCAGACTGTCCAAAGGTTAGGATATAGCTGGAAGACTGTGTACAATCAGCCATAACTGTTAGAATAGCATTTAAAATTGTTACATTTGTATAACTCTGGTGAACAAAATATAGACACTACTATTAAACCCTAGTGTCTCTTTATTGTACAATATACAGAATTTCTCATAGAGCAAATCTGAACTACTGAAAAATAAGAGTTTGTTACTGAAAAACACAGAGAGACTCTTGAAGTTATGAAGTTGTTTCACCTAAGTATTATCTGGTGACTCTTTTATAAAAAAGTCATGGTTAGGCCAGGCTCGGTGGCTCAGCCTGTAATCCCAGCACTTTGGGAGGCCAAGGCGAGTGGATTGCCTGAGCCCGTGTATTCGAGACCTGCCTTGGCAACTTGGTGAGACCTCATCTCTACAATAAATCAAAAACTAGCTGGGAGTGGTAGTGCACGCCTGTAGTTCCAGCTACCTAGAAGGCTGAGGCGGAAGGATCGCCGGAGCCCAGCAGGTTGAGGTTGCGGTGGCCGGGAGCGTGCCACTGCACTCCAGTCTGGGTGACAGAGTGAAACTCCAACTCAAAAAAAAAAAGTCATGGTTTTCAAATTTTTAAAAATCCCAAAACCTAGCAATAGTTCAAAAAGAAAAGTATGGAAGTTTGATCAAGTGCAAGGGGAACACAAATGGCAACCAAACAAAATATAGATCAATAAAGATCCATGTTGAAAGGGAACCTAAAATCATAATAAAAAAAAAACTTATGGCTGCAAATTTGTACACAGAGATTTGGGAACATATACATCATAAGATGAAAATAATAATTTTAAAAAACTTATGGCTGCAAATTTGTACACAGAGATTTGGGAACATATACATCATAAGATGAAAATAAAAATGAAACGCTGAGGAGAGAAAAAAAGTAAAATCTTCTGACAAACTTACTCTATGTAAAAGTACTGAGCCAAACATTACTTAATAAACATCAATTCTAAAAATTTAACAAATGTAACTCAATTTAACACACACACACACACACACACACACACACACACAAAACCACATATAAATAAAAGGTAAACAAAGTGTTTCTTAAACACATAATCTTATAAGCCTATTGCAAATTTATTATGTCAATAGCAAGAATAGTGTGAACATTTTTCTAAGCAATAAGCAAAACTGAGGTATTGATTCTGCCTCTTTACTGTGAACTGGTAGGAGCCAAGTTCATTTAAAATGCCTTCTGGGAAAAAAAATGATTGAATGTATATACCAGAAAGCTACCTTCCACAAGAGTGAAAGAACAGTCATAGGAAAAAGAAAAACTTAGAAACTTAGAAAGGGCTTAGTCTTATAAATCAAAGGGGAAGGAGGGAAGAGTCTTACAGTATGTTCTAATTTTCAGATGACATTTTACTTGGTAGTAAACTGCCTTCTAGTTTTAGCCCAGGATGAAAGCTGACAGAGCCTGTCCTGTCAAAGGGTCTAACCACATTACTGGAAGATCATCTTGGTATGATCCCACAGAGTCCACCAAAGATGGGTGACCCCATTTTAATTCTAAGGCAAAAATCTGTCATATAGTGTCTAGGGCTAACCTCAAGCAGATAAAGAATATGAATGAAAAATGCATGTTAATAACCCCAAGCATTTAATCCACTTATCCCCCAAACAAGAATTCTTTTAAAAAGATAAAAACCAACTGCAATGTGCAATGTAAACCCAAACTACAGAAAATATATATTAATAGTTACAGGTATACATAGTATACATATATCATCCAAAGTGACTGACCTTTATCACAAAAACAAAATGGGTTAAAACATTCTAGAAATCTGAATAAGGTGAGGCACAGACTGCCAATACAAACAGTTAAAAACAAGTTGAGTGCTTCTAATAGGGTAGTTCTATATATACTTTTTCAAAGAATCACATTTCTTGTTCCAATCTTTGAGTAAAAAAGATTCATGCTGTCTCTAAGAAAAGGAAAACTTTTAAATCCACTGAACATGACATGATGATTACAATGCCGCTGAGTTGGGAGACTTGAGAGAAACGTCTAGCAGAGACGTACACAGAGCACATTTACGCCCAGTGCGAACCACAGTAAAATCCATTGTGCCATATTTTTAAATCCTGTCCATTACATTTGAAAGAAAGTAATATTTACCACTGAACGTCTCTCCAGTTGCATTAGGACAAAATGTAGAAATAAGATTCTACAGAGTTGAAAACATTGTTAAAGATTGAGGCAATGCCTCCCCACAAATCAAAAATGCATTCTAGAGCCAGGAGTTCAGTATAGTGCACATTTTAAATCTAATCGCAAAAACGAAACTCTAACACCAGGTCAAAAGCAATAGTACATCGTTAAAAGCTCACATGGCACAATGACTTTCACCCCATATATTTAGTGGTTATCGCTGAAGAATCACCACTAAGTTTTCATTAATTTACTTTTGTAAACTCATCATGCTACACTTTTCTTCTTGCAATTTTCATGGTGATATAAAGAATACATGCACAAAATACTCAATTCTTGAGGTTCAATATGTTTTTGAAAAAAGCAATTTCATTTATAATCTAGAAAAAGGTTTAAGGATAATGGGAAAGAAAAGAAAGTAGAAAATAAAAATTCCTCCCAATTTTTAGTTTAAAAATGTAAAAAAATCTAGGGAACATTTATGCTAGCAGGAAAACCAGGGTTTTATTTCCTGTAACAAAACTCATGCTCAAAGGTCAACATGCCAGAGCAGATCCTTCCTCTTGGCATCTCTTGCAGATATTTAGCTGACGGAAATTGAAGAGGTCACAGCATGGTTATCAGGTGAAGTCCATCCAGGACAAAGGGAACACAGGTGTTCACGTCTGTAGTCTCTCCAAGATGCTGTGGTACCCAGCAGGAGAGCGCTGGTGTCTTCACAGAACTCCAACCCACCACTACCACCACCATCCAGACTCACACGGTGCACTTTCACCACACTAGAAGCAGTTAGTCTCTTTAAATTGAACCAGGACATCCAAATCTTTTGTATAATTTAGAAAAGAAATTCCTTCATATTGCTGAAAAGCTAACTCCTAGTCCTTCCTTAAGCCACATCTAACCCTTCCTGCCCTCTCATACCCTCCATGCCACTAACACCTTGATTCTCTTTTCCCTATATTATTTTCCATCTTCTATTTCTTCAACAAAACAAAACAAATCCAAAATAAACGCCTTTCGTCTATTTCCTACAATGTCTGAGCCAGGCATGGTGGCTCACACCTACAATCCCAGCACTTTGAAAGGCAGAGGCAGGAGGATCACTTGAGGCCAGAAGTTTGACATCAGTCTGGACAACACAGCAAGACTCCGTCTCTACAAAAAATTTTTAAAACTTAGCCAAGTATGGGGGTGTGCACCTGCAGTTTCAGCTACTCGGGAAGCTGAGGCAGAAGGTGAGCCATAATTGTGGCACTACCCTCCAGCTTGGGTGACAAAGTGAGACTTTGACTAAAAAAAAAAGTCTCTCCTTTCCTTGATGTCGTAGCCAATGAGCTGTGCTTCTCAAAACTTTATGCTGTGAGGGACAGGACTTTCTGTCTTGTTTCCTTTTCTTTTGTTTGCCTTAACCCAGACTAAACTGACCCTCTTATAAAATACAATAAATGACTAGATAAGTTAAACAGTAAATAAATAAATAGGTAAATAAATAAATAAATCACACATACATACAAAATACAATCCCGTGGATACTGCTTTTGGATATCACAGCAAAGCTAACTTGCTATAAAAGTTTCTAATCTTCTTTTCACAGACGAGTAGCAAACACTCTGTGGACGGGCAGTCTTCTGAAAGCCACACTCTGAGACACACTCCCAGAAGGCTGCTACATGCTTAGATATTTGCTTCCCATCCCCAGTTGTCCTTTAAAATTCCTCCACCATTGAGGAGTACACAGTATCAGTCTGCAAGGCTCTCTAGCTCATTTGGGAATCGAATCCCACTTGTTGGTCACATTAGTAAGAGACACATTGATCACTTCCTCCAGTTTACAGATGAAAACGCACTCTCTTCTTGGTCTCCCCCTGCCCCACCTCTCCAGCAGAGGCCGCTCTCTCTTCCCTCAGTCTTCTTCCCTTCCCAGCACCTTAGTGTTGTGTGGTTCCACATGGTTCCAGCTTGATAACTTGCTTTTCTTCCCCTGTCCACAAGGATCACACTCATGTTCCCAATTTCAACTACCATCTCTGAAAATCCAAATTCCATCTCTCACCTGAGATAGAGTTGGGTTCTCTCACTAATATCCTTCTCTCACATAGACATTGCTACTCAAACTCATCCTTCAGCTCAAATCACTTCAAATATTTACCAAAAGTTCCCACATTGTCAAGAACTGCAGCGGTTATAAATTCAAGAAAAACAAAGTCTGTCCTCACAAGGTATCCTGCATGGTGTGGGCTTTGGTTCAACACAGCTGGGCCTAATTTCCACACAACTTTGTGCTCATTAGTCTGTCTCAAATCAGTTTCCTTATGCGAAAATCAAATGTACATTATTATACCACTTCACAGGATTGTTGTCAAAAGTGAAAGAATGGATGTGGAGTGTGACACACAGAATGGATATGGAGTGTGAACACCTCCAAAAATGTTATAGCTATCATCATTATTAAAATTAACTACTCCTGCAGTGACTTTTTTATTTATATTGTGATACAAATACTTTTTTTGATTGTTGGTCTGTCTTGAGGTTGAATTTATGTCAATTTGTTAGTCATTTTTATGCATTATTTCTATGACAAAATGTGATTCTAAACCATTAATAGAAATAGAGAGGTTGAAATGCATCAAATATTTGCAGAAACAAGTTAGATCAAGTTGGGAGCATAGTAAGGGGAAAAGTAACACAGTAAAATATGTTCAGCTACCAGTACAACCACTAACTGTCTGAGCTTGTCAAGTCTTTTAAACTCTCTGGGTCTCAATTTTGTTTTCTCATCTGTAAAATAGAGGTTTCTTAACTCTTCAGGTAAAATTATGTTTTAAATTCTCAATACAAACTATGTGGTCAAACACAGGCTAAAAATATCTGTTTCATTCCAAAATGGACTTTTTCAGTGGACACTGTTTTAAACACGATTTTAAACACACAAAAATTAGCCTCTAGGTAGATATATGAAAAACCCTACACATAATGTGAAATATTAAGTAATGATTCAAGAAAAAATTATTTTCATAAGAAAAAAATTGACCCTGTATAAGATTTTCTAGTTTGGCACTTTGTTCATCAAATATAAAAACACAATATATCATGCAAGCTAAAATATTCACTGATTATTAACATTTGTTTGTAACAAGGTGCCAACATTTCACTGTTTCATATCAACACCTACTACTGGACACATACTAACACTTGCCAGGAATTATGCTAAGAACTTCACATTTATCAGCTCACTTAATCTACAGAGAGAAACCTATAAAGTAAGTAACATTTTTTGTCATTTAACAGATAAGAAACCCAAGCATCTCAGGTTTGACTAAATTCCTTAAAACCACATCAATGGAAGTTAGAACACAGTATCAATCTGCAAGGCTCCTAAATCTGCTATCATGGTTCACTACCTAGTCCTCTTCCAAGAAGTTCTTTGCAGAGTAACACTCACACGGCTCCACAAAATTATGAAAGGGAAAAAATTAGAAGCTTTAAAAGACTAGACAAAAAATGGCATCCATGGAAAAGAGAATGAATGTGCTCAACAAAAAAAGGAACCCACCTTCATGACCTATGACAGATCTGGAAGCTGTTTGAAAGCTAACAATGCCCGCCACATTGTCATTGGCCAGAATGTTCACTCTAACGGTGTCGGAGCTGGGCAAAATTCTACTTCCACCTTCGGTGTACACCAGACTAATTATGATGCTTTCATCATCCTCTGGTTCGGAATCATCCAAGATGGTTAAAATGGCTAGCTTTTTGGTTTCACCTGCAAAAAAAATTAATGAAATAAAAACCAAAGCAACAAAATCACCAACACAGAGAACCTAGAAGGGCCCCAAATAAATTCTATTTCTTAAAGTTAAGTAAAAAATATGTGAATGAGCTATAACAGTTCCATATTGTGGGGTGAGAGTGGCAGTTGAGGGCAACTGCTAGGGGAGGGAGGGCCACACCTCATCAACAAGGGTATGTGCATAATTAACATTTGTATACATAACCCTGAGTTGTACCCCACATCTTTATAAATAAAAAAATAGTTCCATATTGTGAGCTATATTAGCACCACTATAAGCAAGTTTTGTATATTGACCCCCATTCATTCCCATATAAAACACTGTACAATTTCATTCACGTAGGCAGATTGTAGAGAAGGGCATTCTAAATTATGGAAAAGTGAACGCAGAAGGACTTCAAAGAATCATAGCTTTATCTCCTGGTCTTTAGCCAAGAACAAGAACCTAGCTAAGCAAAGAGCTTTGAAAGTCTCTTCTGTTTAGAAACAGCTCCCTCTAGGGAAGTGGAGTCATTCTCATTCTGGTATGACTGTAAGTAACTTTAATCAGATATTCAGCCCAATACCTCCCTAAAAAACCAGGAACACTTAGGGAATGGTGGTCAAAATGAAGAATAGAAAAGGAATGGCAAATTCTGAGCAAAAGAACCAGCCTGAATGAGATGAGTCTTTGGGTAACTCAAGAGCATGGCATCAAGTACCAGTTTCCCGGAAGCAGAGCAATGAAGGAAGAAGGCAAAAGAGAAATTCAAAGGGACAAGTGGCAACCACAAGGTCCAAGCAGTCTACTTTGCAATTTGATCTCAGAGACAGGAAACCATGGAAGGTCCCTAAACCTAATACTGCTTCAGCAGTTCAGCCTATAGTATCCTTGATTTAATTCCTCCCCACTTTCTGGAAACAGGATGAAAGGGTGAGAAAAGAAAAGACAGAAAAAGAAGAAAGGAGATTAAATGCGTGTTCTCTCCCTTGTGACTCTGGTGTATCTTCATCAACGCAGCAGTGTGAAGATTGCCTCAAGAGAGTATGCACTGAGAATCCAGGTTAGCTATAAAACGTAACCCATTTTGTATAATGCTAAGATTGCAATTTATGGTAATAGTAATTTATATAATGTTGAAACTTTGTAGTTTCTTTGTAGTTACCAAAGTCACTGGAAAATTTAAATTTTTAATCTCTACTCCCTCTCCATTACATTTTCATTATTCCCTTTGAAATAGGACAAAATGTTACCAATTACCAATTACCAGCCTGCCACCCCTGCCCCCCCCCACGCCAGCAAACACATTGCAACTCACTATCCCTTTATTCCCAAATCAATTACTAGGAAATAACCATTATACAAATGTTTCATTCACACTATTTTAAAATTTTACTCTAAAACATAATACTTATTAGATGTTTCAGAAACTATACTATATATGTACCAAGACCACTAATTAATTTCCCCCCAAAAAAGTGTATGCATTAAAAAAGTTAAACCACAGATACAATGAATTGCTCTAGGATATGGAATTACAAATAACGTTTATTTCCTTCATTTGGTTGTACAAGGGAGACCCCAAAAAACCCCAGAATTATTTTTTGGAAGGTGGGCCCCATGTAGTACAGGATTCCTCTGCTAGGTAACTAGGTTAGTGTTCCAGGAATCCATTAGCATCAATATACAAGCTAGCGCTGTTATAAGAGGCTGCGCTCAGCTATGGTGATTTTTTTTTTTTTTGAGAGTCTTTCAAGGCTTTGCCCATTTCATGACAGGTGATTTACAAGTGCACCTGCCCAGACCGTGCTGAGTGTTTAGCAATTTTAGAGCAAAGATAGCATGACCCTCATGTTCCACCCTCCCTATTCACTTGATCTCGCCCCAAGTGACTTTTTTTTGTTTCCCCAGATGAAAAGGTCCTCAAAGGGAAATGTTTTGCCAATGTGGAAAAAGTGAAACAAAAAATGGCAGTAGCACTGAAAGGCATCAAAATTGATGAATCCACCGTTCTGAGCAGTGGAAAAAGCATCTCGCTGGGTGTACTGCATCAAATGGACAGCACTTTGAAGGTGAGTGAAGTTTAAACATGTAAGAATAAATACACATTTTTTTAAAAATTCCAGGTTGTTTTGGGTCCCCCTCATATATCCTGAAGTTTTTATGAGTATAATCGCTTTTTCAATCAGAAAAACAATATGTCAAAAAAACACTATGAAATCTCTAGTTGCCCAAATCAGAATTTCCAATGATCGCAGTAACAATGAAAACTATTTTAAGCATAAGAACTTTCACAATTTTAAATCTCAGAACATTCAACAAGTTCTGAAAAAGAATCAGTGAATCTGACTCTAACTCTAATTTGTTGACCATGTAATTATGATTCTATTGTTTATGAACATGTGCAGTAGTGATCCCACCCAAACTAAGAAGAGTATTGTAAATGGGCCTATCACTAAGATTCATTTAGTAGAAATGCAGTCACCAAAGTTTATACTATTTCTACTTACACGTTATTTTCATTGACAATATATTCTGACTTATCTGATGCATATGAAAATGTCTACCAATTAATAATACCCACTTCCCTATCTACCACTGCTTATTACCCGCATGCTTTATTGTAGGTACAGGGCTCACTCTTTTAACTTCCCTTACAAAATTAAAGCTGGCCGGTCTCGGTGGCTCAGCCTGTAATCCCATGCCTTTGGGAAGCTGAGGTGAGTGGATTGCCTGAGCTCGCGTGTTCGAGACCCGCCTGGGCAGCGAGACCTCATCTCTACAATACATCAAAAAATCAGCCGGGTGTGGTAGCGCATGCCTGTAATTCTGGCTACTCGGAAGGCCGAGGTGGAAGGATTGCCGGAGCCCAGCAGGTCGAGGCTGCGGTGGCCGGGAGTGGCCACTGCACTCCAGTCTGGGCGACAGAGTGAGACTCCAACTCAAAAGAAAAAAAAACAAACAAACAAAAAAAAATTAAAGCTGGCCTTATAGTTGCCTCTGTATTTTTTTAAAGGCACTGCTATCATACATAAAGGGAGAAAATTCACATATTCCCAGAAAAATTTATTTTTAATAACCTGAAAAGATACATATGTAGGGTCCTGTCAACCTATACGTGTCACGTCAACCATTAACAAGCCAACTAACATCTATCTTTGCTCCAAAGCCAAACTACATTTTTACCAATGAGCAATGTACACAGTAAGAATTCTTATGAATAGTATGATAAAAATGGACTGTGGTGACTTTACTGGGGGAACAGATCCATTTAGAACCATCACTCACCTTCAGCAAAAGTCAGAATGTCGCCAGCACCTATAAAATCTATACCTTCAGTAGCCGTTCCGCCAACGACACGCCACTCAACGGTCACCTGACCTGCGCTGCCCCCTGTCCTGTGGATCACTAGCTCCACCGAGGTTTGGGACTGCTCTTGAACTTCGACAAGCAAGCCATCTTCTGAGGTATTGGGACTGATACTATAGATCACAAACACTCCAAAGGCATCGCCATTGAGCGCTATGACAACCATAGAAGTATTTGGCTGTCCTATGGTTGGCCGATTCTTCACACTGGCTGTGATGTTCATGAGGTGAACTTCCAGGAGAGAAATGAGGAAACTCTCATCCATCTCCGGGACATCATCAGGAAGAATAGAAACTGTGAGATTTGCAAACTCTTCACCTTCGAGCATGATGGCCCACTCCCTTGTCACAGGCTCATAGTCAATGCCAGCCACAGCCTGACCACTAAAAAGAGATGCTACCCTGGTCGTGTTTTTCCTGTAGGTCCAGAAGTCTGAATTGTTGACAGTTGGGTCGATCCATGATGTCATCCAAAAACACCAGGGACCCTCAGAAGTGTCAGAAAATGAAAATGCTGAGCAGGCATGTTCTCGGAGGCACAGAGTGGCACAGGCATGCTGGGGCTCCCCCACTGCGGAGACATTCACCCAAGTTCTCCAAAGTGGGTCAGGCATCCCTTGAATTGGCGATTCGTAGTAGGACAATAACTCTTGGCCTTCCTCAACTGCAAGAGTCACTACATCAATATCGGAAGTACTGTAGAACAACAGCAGGCCACCAAAGTGCCCTCCGCTAAAATGTGGAGTGACAATTAAAAGAGAAGGTTAAGCACTCAGGGTAACTACACAGAGATAAGAGGAATGCTGGCAGTGGTTTTCATTTTTTAAGAAAAATGGTAAAAGTACTAGTGCAAACACAACCATATGGCTTAATTACATTTGTCTTTCAGCATTTTGTTTTCTCACATATGGGCACCTTGCTAGTTTTCGAACACTTATTTTTAATCCAGCCATGAAAATATCATCCAAGGTATGCCAATTCAGGATTTCCAAACAAAGTTACAAAATGAATTTTCATTACTAGATTTCACTGAAAAGTGCCATTGAAAACAGCATGAGGACATTTTGAGGAACTGCAATTACAGCTGGCCCTCCATATCCGTGGGTTCCACCTCCACGGATTCAACTAACTGCAGACTGAAAATATTTGAAAAAACACTAGCAATAAAAATAAAAAATACAACTTCTTAAAACCAATACATACAACACCTATTTACATGGCATTTACATTATATTAAGTATTGTAAGTAATCTAGAGATGATTTAAAGCATATCATAGGATGTGTGCAGGCTGGATGTGAATGTTATATTATACTCTATTTTAATATAAGGGACTTATGCACTCAAGGATTTTGGTATACCTAGGGGCCTTGGAACAATCTCTCATGGATACTGCAGAGATGACTCTACTTGCCACAAAGTCCCAAGACTCAATAGTTTCTATTTCTGAAGAAGCACAGTGTACACCCCGCCTCACAAAAGAAATGCAGGAAAAACGGAATCTGAAAACTGACCCCTTCATACAGCACGCCAGTGTTCTGTAGTTTAGAAGCCAGTTATACTTAAATTATAATTCTAACAAATCACATTAAAACAATAACTCTCTGGGGTGAGAAAATTCAATGATGTCTATAATCTATCACCCATTTTACTAAGCGACAGGTATGATGACCATAACAGGTTCCTTATATAGCAATATATGAATAGGCATAATTGAATTAATGAATTATAGTAACCCATAAAATAACTTAAATATTGAAAAACCACCAAACCCAAATTGTCGAATTGTGCAAGGGCTCCTTCCCCCCACTCCGCAACTCCCATCACTCCCACAGACCAAGCAGCCATCTCATGTACCTTCGCCTGACAGTTATGTTAGCACAGGAACTTCTTTCCAGAGGCTCTTGAACACGATAAACCATCTGAACAAAGGCTACTGTACCATACGGATTATCATTGGCAGGAATAATAATACTTGCCACTCGATCTAACCCAATAGTACCTCCACCTGAGGCATCAGTTAGTTGCACTTGGATAACCTAAAAATACAGTGAAAACTTCCTTAACAGCATCACAGTTCTGAAGTTAGAATAAGAATAGTGCAGGGGGGGAAATCAAACATATGTATATATAAGTACAAGAGCAAAACGGAGTGAAATATAAACGGACTCCAAGAAACTGCCCCAATTACATTACAAACCCAGCATGTAACAGAATAATCAATCCATCATCAATTTTTAATAGTAGAGCCTGATTTAAATATAGGCTGTTTTTTTAATTCCTTAATATTTCGTTATATAATCACATAAATCCGTTTTAAGATTCCAGTTTCTGTTTATCATTTCAATAATAGGACTTTTATGTCCTTTACCCTTTTTTAAATTTAGGGAACATATTGCATATATATTTTAATGGATAGTTAATATTTCACATGCTTTACTTCCCACATTATCTCAAATGAAATTATCTGTCAAAACTTAAAACAAAAAAAATCATATTGTAATGCCACCTAAATTTAGAGAGCAGGAAAGAGAAATGTTTTATATGTATTAATGAATATCTAATATTTTAGAAGTGAAAATGACACAATTAGCATTCAAAAGAAATTTTATAAATTTCTCTTCTATAAAAATTTGATACTATCAAAGAATAAATTCTATTAGAAGTAATTTTATGAGATCTAGGCCTACTTGAGTTTCATAAAATAAAATTATCTTTAGCCAATATACATTAGTGATGAATCAACTTTCCCACAGAGACTATATTTTTATTTGCCACCTTGCTTCTTCATCATAAAAAATAATTATCAGGAAGATATATCTTGAATGGTATTTGTCATATAATAAATTCTCAACAATGGTTGAAGAATAAATGAATGAATGGGTAGAAGCCAAAATCGATACTGGATTAAGATCAACTGGTTTGGCCAGGCTTAATGCCGTAGCCTGTAATCCCAGCACTTTGGGCAGCTGAGGCAAGTGAATTGCCTGAGCCCACGGGGTCGAGACCAGCCCAGGCAACTTAGTGAGACTTCGTCTCTACAATAAATTAAAAAAAAAAAAAAATTAGCCAAGCGCATTAGTGCACGCCTGTAGTTCCAGCTACTTGGAAGGCTGAGGCAGAAGACTCGCCGGAGCCCAGCAGGTTGATGCTGGGGTGGTTGTGAGTGTGCTACTGCATTCACTCCAGCCTGGGCAACAGAGTGAGACTCCAACTCAAAAAAAAAAAAGACTGACTGGCTCATATCACCCAAACCAAAACGCAGTATGGATACAAACTGTTTATATGGAACAAAGGTCATACAAATTATGACTGATGCATACGTATTTAATCACTTAAAATGAATATTCCTGCCTTTGTTAACCATTAGGATCACTGTCACACTACCATAGTTTGAACGCTGCTGCAGAAATAATTTATTTGACACCCTCTCCAAAATGTCACAACAGCTATCTATTTTAGTCATTATCAGACAAGGTACAATTTACAGTGTTATTCTATACTAGCCATTCCTCTCACCTCTTCAATCTCCGGAACGTCGTCAGCCAGGACCTCTAACAACAAGGTTTGAATGGTTTCCCCAGGGGCAAAGGTCACATTACCTGAGACAACTCGCAGGTCGCCAGTAGCAAGCTGTCCATTAATGGTGGCAACCCACTGGACAGTAACATTGCCGAGTGTCCCAGAATTTCGAATTATTGGCAGGTTTACCTTCACTGAGTTAAACTCAGGTTCCTCTACAATAAGTTTAGTAATCTGAAAACCTGGAGGGCAGACAGAACAGAGTTAATTTCAAGTGCAAAGTGAAACTGAGCTGACATACGGTTAACCAAGTTGCCATCTTGTCATGGACTTTTCCCCCTAAGCAATCCAAAGCTGTACCCTACAAGTCAGAGTTGCACAATGTAATACAACTGCCAAAATTTCCAAATTATGTTTCACTGTGATAGAAGCAGAAATCACAAACTCAGATCCCTACAGGGGTCAAGTCTACATCAGACATGAGAGCAGTGAGACCAGTGAGTTCAGAGACTTCCCAGTGCAAGCGTGGACCACAGGAACAATTGCTTTTTTGCTCCCAGGCCTGACACTATACAGGACAGGGAGCCCGATGTTACCAGATTTTCCTATTTTATCAAGAAAGCTCAGAAACCCAAATTTTTGTATAAATTTCTGTAAATCAAATTAATTGTTTAAAGAACTGCCTAAGAAACACACAACATCTAAGAGCTAGGTCTAACCTAAAAGCCAACAACTTGTGGCTTCCATATATATGCTAAGAGAAGATTTACATCCTTTTAAAAATAACCACTGACCACTGCCAGTGACTGTGCACAGATGTCCTATCTATGAGTAGCAGCAGATTAAAAAAAGAAAGCATGATTATAGCAATTTTGAGTCTCTCAAAGGAAAGGAAAGGTCATTATCTATGATCTACACAGACAAATGAGAGGCACAAGCAAACTAGTCTGCATACCAAATAATCCATAGGGGTCATCAGAGGCCTCGATAATAATGACTGCCTCTGTTAAAGCCCCTAGTTTGGCTCCACCTGTAGTTTCATTCAGCAACTGCACAAGAAAAGATTCTTCCAGCTCAGGGTAGATGTCATTAATGATATATATTGGCACGGCTTTACTGGTTTCCCCTTCCAGCAAGACCACATCGGATGAAGCTATACTATAATCTTCACCTGCAAAGACAAAAGCAAAATGCTGAGACTTATTAACTATTCCATACACCAGGGAAACATGATTAGGGTCAAACTTTATAGAAGTACTTGGAAACACCTTTTTTAAAAAAGATATGAATTACATTTATTCTGAACAAGATTTTTACCTCTCTTGCTAGAAAAAAAATGAGTTTGAAAATATCACAAAATAATGAAAAAGACTTTCTAAGGGTGTTCAAGTTCACTCCTTCACTTTATGAAAGATGCATACATTAATTTAGCCTATTATACATATAGAAAATAAAACAAAAAGATAGTCATTCATTACTACAAGCTCGCCCCCTATTTACAAAACAAAAAGTATGCAATACTTTCAGAACTAAAAACAGAACTAAAATTCTAATCTCACTGAAGAGATAAATTATAGTGTTGCCTAGATATGGGCATGTTAGTATTTTCAACGATACATGTTGGGAGCCAGCCTTGGAGGTCCACATGATTGACAGGGTCCCGGTGGGCTGAAGACCCCAGGCCGCAGGGCGAGCCTGGGAAGCTGAGGCCCTTCTGTCTTCCACCTTTGCTGTTTGATACGGCTGAAGAAATTCTGTGCAGTCGTGGAAGAAGAAAATGGCATGTTTATGCGAAGTACTCACACCTAACCTGAGAATGTCATGGTTCATTTTCCCATTTTCCCACTATGCCGCTTGGCCTTTTCTAACATATGCAAGGGTTAAACTCTGAAGCACATCAAGAATGCTTTCTTTCACTTGGTTATAAGTTACTAGATATTGCTTGAGTAAAAAATGATATAAGTATATTCACTCCTTATTTGATTTAGAATTATGCAGCTTAGTGGTCAGACGTAAGGTTTTTTAGAAGCACAAGTTTATGGTAAGTTCATTATGAGCTCATTATAAGTTCTAACACTTATCTAGGAGTTATGTAGGTGATTTATAACACTGTCTTCACAGACTTAGGATAAAGATTAATCGTTAAGGTTTTTACTTAATTCTATAGTTAAATTTTAAGTAAACATTTATAGAGTGGGTTTTCACTGAATTCATAATATACTAATTAGATACTTTTATGATAATTAACTAAATACAGAAAGCAACCTTGGGGGCCTGGGAAATGTCATT